TCGGAGAGGTCAATAATGTTTGAACATGGAATATGCCTGAGTTAAACTTAATCCATCAAACCAACAGCATTTTGTGCTCCAGTGGTGTTTTCATTCTTCTCTAAATCCACAGTATGAACAAACGAGTCTGTCGTTTATAATAACCACAATCGTAACCAACGCAGAATTGATTTTCTTCAACAAGTTAATCTACACACATTTCAATAAGGGTCAGAAAAGCCCTGATTTGTCATTAGATTTGATATGTGTGAATGAACTTCCAGTGATTTGGGCATTCAACCTTCAAGAGACCTTTAAACTCGATACATGTTTAAGTGTGAAACAAATCAGACTGCCTGAACAAGCTGTCGCACGGTCATCGTGTGAAAAATTGACTTTTTTATGCCTTTGTCCCCAGAGAACAGTGTTTGGTTAGTTTCTGGGGAAATTGCAAATATATACTTAATTAGCAGAACTTACAGTGTATTTTTATTTTTTTTACTTTCCCCTGCTGGAAACTTGCGGCAATGTTCTACAGATGGAGCTTTTTCGTGCTGTAATCCTTTCCAGAATATCTGAAGCTTTTATTTTAGCGACAGTGATATTTACTGCTTCATGATTCTGTGGCCATGAAGTCTGTGACCAAAAAATAGTCATATCAGCTTCCTTTCAAAAATAACTCAAGTAACGTTCCTGAAGTTCATAATGGAGTTCAAGATCCTCAGCCGTCAAGGATATCAAGGAGGGAGGTCTGATGTGTGTCTGGATATGCATGTGTGTGTTTTTTTTTTCTGATAAGGAAGGCCAAGGGGGTTTGACCCCTCATGACCTCTGCAGTGTTGGTGGCATTAAGCTGTTTGTAAAGAGAAATACATTCATCTACTGTGTGTGTGTCACTCAGATAAGCTCTGTACTCACACATACCTGGACAAGGTTGCTGTCTGCCACATTATTTGAGGTGAACTTCATGTGGCTCAACAAAAGACTAATTGTGAGAATCCACATTAACAGTCACCTGTGAGTCCGACCACACACACACACACACACACACACACACACACACACACACACGCAGGGCTTCGCCTTTCACCTTGAGTTGTTCTGGATTGCATGAGTGCACCAGCGTGAAAAGTAGAGTGAATCAGTGAAAACACTTTATGACTCTTACATACACAAACACACACAAAGACAGCATGCTGTGGGGCCTTCTTTTAAGTGTTTGAAAGAGAACAAGAAAAAACAACAAAAGAAAGAGGCCAATGTAGCCTGTGGCTAAACACAAAAAGTTATTGGCTTTCTGTAAAAGAGAGAATAGCAGAAGAAAAGATTAATCAGAAGTTTAGTGAAAGACAAATGGCTGGACATATGTTTAAAAAAAGGGTCAGTTTCTACACACCATTATCAATCAAGGAAAAGTTGGGGATGCAATTAGTTTTGATTAACAATTATGTTGTAAATACCAAGTTTAACATGCCTTGTCTCTCCCTACCTCAATCTCTTTATCTCTCTTTGTCATCAAGACACATATCTTAGGACTAGGTGCTTTAAAGAGTAACTAAACCCCCAAACCACATTTTAGCAAAAAAAACAAAAACAAAAACACTGTTTATGGGTATTTAGTAGTGATCTGATAGTTTCAGATCCAAATTACATTTTAGTGCAACGTATTTGAATTCTACATATTGCGCAACTGCCCACTATTGGTTGAAACTGAATCTTGTCTGATCTGTTGGCACGTGAGGTATATATATGGTGGCGAATTTTGTCCAACCACAACCAACCACCCCCTCTCCTCTCCCTCATATAAAACCAACATCTCCCGACTCTAAGGGCTGTGGACAGAGTCGATTGAAAAGTGGATTGAGTATAGTAACTGAGGAGTTAGACTCCACTGTAATGATTTTAGTGTACATTTTATAGTTGTGTGTCTGCAAACACAGTCTTCAGTAGGTTAAGTTAGACAGTTAGGTTGTTAGATTTTTCCAATTTTAGTAGATGTAGGTTAGCTTTAGCTTGTAGTTCAACTTTGTGTTTTTTAAATAGTTGTTTGATTCAGCATTAGTTAGTTAGTTAGTTTTAGTATTTAGGCTAGTGGCCAGAATGGGTCGGTACTGTTGATTTTCTGGTTGCAAAAAGACATCCGGAGTGCACAGTTTTTCAGCAGACGTAAAATTAGGCGCCAGTGGTAGTGACACTCCTCCACAGATAAACTGAAAAACCAAAAGGGATATGAAGGCGTCTAGTGACTGTCAAAGCTCCGGCAGACACGGAGAGTCTGACAGCAGCTGCTCAAGGCTGGTTACCTCTGATTGCCAGCACTGACCGCTGGGCAGTCTGTCTCTCGGTCATTCTGGCTAGGGTCTCCTTACCACCAGTGACACACTACGTAGCCTCAAGGCCACGTCCCCTGTAGTGGTTGTCCTGTACAGTCCTGCATTTTTTAAATATGTTCATATTTCACATAAATACACACACTTGCACGCACACACAGTGGGTGTGTTTTTTGTCTTGTCCGAAGCCCTGGCCTCTCTCCCAGACCCTGAACTGCCCCCCAGCTATTACTGCTGCAGCTAAATGTGTCAGACCACTAGATGTGTACTGGTATTGATTTCACACAACTGACATCACCCATGTGTGTGTTTGAAAGAGTGTGTTTAAGTAACAGAAGCCAGAAATTGAGTAACCACACACACACACACACACACACACACACAGAAGGGTGGCCAGACACTTTAAATCAACAAGATCTTATGACGCGATACCATGTGTGTGGTGAGCTTGAGTGTGTCTCGGTTTTTTTGTGTCTCCCATGACCAGTGTATTAAGATTTTGGCCAGATCAGTGCCACAGTTTGAATTTCCATAGAACACTAGAAAAACAACTGGAGTTGGGGATAGAGACCTCTACTACAGGCTAAACAATTGCCTAAAAAGCAATGCTATGTAAACACACACACACACACACACACACACACACACAAACACATACACACAAAGATAAGCATCTGAGTCAGTGTTAAAGCAAACCCAGCGGTATCACTCCTCAACTCAAGGCCCCTTCCAAGGGAACTTAAAGGAGAAGATTTAAAGTGGAAGAAATGGCCCCACACTGCGCCCAATCAGAAGCTTTCAATGCTAAAATATATACTTGAGTGCTGACAGGCAAGACTCCAATTTCAAGTTTGGACCCTTGCACACACGTACACAGAAAAGTCAAAGACCTCAAAATGAAAAACAGACAGATAGACGACAGATGACAGATAGACAAAGAGAAAAAACAACTGCCAGGATACTAAAACCAGAAGTCAATGAGAAACAAGAAACCACTGTACATTAAATCTAAAGAGAAAAATAGGATTATTTAACTCTTAAGCATATAATCCAAGCAAAATACTCTTAGCTATATGTAACATTTCCAAAAGTATTCATCATTTCCCATTCATTTCAAGATATTATTGTATCTACCATAAACAACGTAGACCACTGCTGTTCTTCCAAAAGAAAAAGGGTTTCTTGTTTTGATAGATGGTGAAACTCATCAGTAACATAACACAAACTTAACAACAACAAAAAAAAAACCTTCATGAATAGGAAACAAAAGCGTTTCTGAATAAGGAAGTATTGAGATAGTGTCTCAGCCAGCGTAGATTGTAATACAGCAGTTAAGAGGGCAGGGTGATCATTCTGATGTTTAAAAAATTACATACACTTTTAAACTAATACCCAAATGAGGGGTTGACAGAAAAGCATTAAGTCAAAGATAGAACAGAGACAGATTTGAAACTAATAGCTTGTGTTCAGGTTGGTTGGGTTTCCACACAGTGCCAGAGGGGAAAATAAAGGGGAGATGGGGAAGGATGGATGGGAGAAGTGAGTGAAGGGAGAGGTGATGTCAGAAAAAGAAAGAAAGAAAGAAAGAATCGCATCTAAAGAAACATACTGACTCACACAGTAGCTGATGCAGAAATACCACACACCAGCACTTCAGGCTGTATGTGGAGAGTGGTTTTATGAATTGTCCATATAGTTAAAAACAGAAAGCTTAAAATGTAGACAGATGTACGATGACCTGAATAAAAGTCTTGTTCATCCAGATTTATATTTTATATTTAAGCCTATGGCCTGACCGTTGACCTACATGAGGCAGTTACATGAAATCTATTGATTGCCTCATTACATGGCTCTCATCCGCTTAGAGCACACTCTGTTAACAAAATTTATTTAATCTGCAAAATCAAAAGACTTGTATGTGAACATACATATATTAATATCTAAGATTTTTACATGGGAACCAGATCAACATAATTCAACTGAGAAAAGCATACATTGGATAGCTAACTTTTCAGGTTATCATCTTGCATAAACATGCATAATTATTCCATTGCAAACAAAGCATATTTCTTCTAAATAACACTGCTAATTGCGTCTAGTTTGGAAGAACATAGCTTGAACATGAATTGTGTCAGGAATCAAGGCTCAAACATTGAAACAGTGCTGCTGTCAGTCCTCCTTGAATGTGTCCCGTGTTTACAATGTTTAACCTTGTAAAGTGATGTATGTGTTGATGAATGAGAAGGACTGCAGCAAAGGTGATGGATTTAGAAGAGAACACATCACTGTCGTCATTCAAAAACTTTTGGAATTGAAAAGCTTTTTTTCCCTTCTTTTGCAGATGAAAGGAAACCGTGTTGTAATATTTTTTAAAAAGGTCACACCTGGTGACATAACGTCCACCTGACAGCAAGAATAATTACATTTTGTAATATCTCTGCTGGAATACATATTATCTGAAGTGGAACATTTAAAAAAAGTCTAGCTAATGAATTTAATATCGTTCATAGCAAGTGAGTCAAGGGAGTGTGTGTGTCCATATGGAGATGGGGGTTTCTGCTATTTCAAAGTGTGTATGTAGTCACACAAACATACACACATGCACATATACACATTTTTAAATGTAAGTCAAAGAAGTAAGAGAAGAAAAACATTTAACACAGTCCATTAGGACTATGTATTGTGTCTTACCTCTCTTTGAGGAAGTCCACCACTTTTTTGAAGTCATCGATGCAATACTCTCTCTTCATGTCCATCAGGACGCTGTCTGAGGCCGACTGCACAGGAACATGAAGGAACGCATAGACACGTGGGTGATTCAATATCTTAGCCATCTCCTAATGAAACACAGGGAACAGAGAGAGACAAAGGGGGGAACAAGAAATAAAATGAAATAAAGGGTTAGATTTTTCATAGGTATTTCTGTATATCTAATGTATCAATATGGAGCAAAGGAAATGAGAAAATCCCCATGTTGGTAAAGCTGCAGATGATGCTGCTATTGTTTCTTAATACTAAGATGATTAATCATCTCTTAAAAATAGTAGTTTTCTGTTGATTGACTAAATTGTTAATTAGCAATTAGTGCATAGGACAAAAGGGCAGAGATTCTGTACAAGTGGTGTCCAATAGCCATCTAAGGCCAGAAATGCAAACTCTGTAAGTATTTTAATATGACAATAAGGTTTATTCAATGCAAATAATACATAACATAAGAAGAAAGAAGAAAAAAACTCTCACGGACAGCTCTGAAGAATGTTAGCTGCAAGCTTTTAATAAATTAAGGTTCTATTAACATTCTTGCCTCTTTCTGCACTCTCTTCGCTGCAGACCTTCTACCATAGACTGCCTCTCCTATTTTCTATTCCTCTTTTTTGAACTGGGAAAATAATAGAAAAGCAGCTCAGAGAATCCATCTTGTACCCACTAGATTCAAAGTCAAAAGCCTCAAAGATGCATCAGTAGGGGTTCTTCATGTCAAAAACTTTTACTGAATCATCCGTGCCCACATCTCAGATCAAAATGGTGAGGGGGGAAAAAGAAAAAGAAATAAGAAGTCCACTAGGTACCTTTCGGTTTTCACTGAATTAAACAAATGCTTTGGTTACAGTACGTGCTGGCCATAATGCATGGGATTTCTACAATACAGTATGCAGAAAGCAAGTTTAATGTAAGGAAGATCTGCCATCACATACTCAGAATGATTATCAGACGAAGTGACAAAGTGAAAGAACAAACACACTGAGAAATGAAGAGAGAAAGCTGTATTTCTTGTTCCATATACTTACATATAAATGTTTTCACACCCCAAAGGATGTGTTTAACACAAGGGTTTGTTCACACTACAAGATTCTTGACTTTAATTAAGTAAAGAACCTCTGCAGCTCGAATCAAGGGGATGTTTCTGACAGCACACAAGGCTAAATTCCTGTTATCTGTTAAATGTTGTACATTGTATCATATTGAGAAATATGGACAAAGTGATATCAAGGTCGCCATAGACGGATAATGAATGTTTATAATTTCAGTTTAAGGTACTGAAAAGGGTGGTGAAAGCTGGATTTCTGAGTAGCATCACAGGACTTTGAAACATCTTTTTCGTCTCAGCTCCTACCCTTTTACCAAGAACAGCAAGACTGACATTCTGTGTTCATGTTAGTACACCACATTAATCGAGGGTGTTGGAAGGTTTCATTTCCTCTGTAAAAGAACTGTAGAGACTGCAGATGTCAGATTTTTCTGATGGACATAATCAGGATGCTATCATTACCATGCTAATCACCACAAGAAGCAGAAAGAAAAAGAGAGGAGAGGAAGAAATGATTTAATGATTTCCTGCAAGAATATGCTGATTGCAGTCCGTCTTCTCAATTAAGATCTATTGTAGAATGTTCCCTACTTAACACACAGACACAAAGGCATATGTGTGTGTGTGCGCGCGCACGCACGCGCGCGCGCACACACACACACACACACACACACACACACACACACACACACACACTAACACAGCTCAGTTGCAGTGCACCACAGGGGGTTGACCACTGGAAGCTCTAAATTAGAAAGAATTAATTTGGTTGGAAAATGGAGCTTGATTGGTGACTGAAATCAGCTTGCTGTGTGTGTGTGTGTGTGTGTGTGTGTGTGTGTGTGTGTGTGTGTGTGTGTGTGTGTGTGTGTGTGTGGCGTAAAACAATGCGTGCGTGTGTTTTTGAATGGTTTCAAAACGTAAAAGAATAGTAGATTGATTATGTGCCCATGTGTTATTTCTAAGTTCTTGCAGTTACTCTTCTGATAATTATGCTCTACTTTTCTCAGTGTAGAAGCCACAACCAAAGCACTTCAATACAGGCAGGTAACAAAAGAAGCATGTCCAAAGTATACACGATGTCAACCCAAATCAGCAGTGTATCACACAATCGACAATAAAAACCAAAAGAATACTATCACTAAATACGTGCTACATGAGGCAGATGCACTTGAAATGATGTGTGTGGTTTTTGGCCATATAGATACTTGTGGAAAATACTGGTGAAAACATGTTTGAACCTTTTTACCTCTGGTACTTTGTGGTATAAGCCCTTAAGTGAGCACTTCAGGTACTGAGGAACATAGAACAGACCTGGTTCGGAAACTATGTGTCCAATTCTACTTTATACATGTTTGTTAGCTACCAGTAAGGTCTGATTGATGATGATTGTCATGTGAAGGTCACAATGGGTACATTAAGATATAGCCATACTCAAGTCATCTTTCTGAACTGCTCATGACATAGTTGTGAAACTTGTGAACATTTTCTCAGGATTTTGATTTGTTACTGTATATGTGTGTCTGACTGTATGTGTATATACATCTGCACTTGTTACCTGTGATGAAATGTGCTATATAAATAAGACTGCTTTGCCCTGCCATGCCTTTCAGTATATATCCTGGTGCAGTGTATAGTATTATGAATCGTAATATTCTGCTCCGGTGTCATTAGGTTCACTGACGATGACAATGCCCCACCGACCAGAACAGATCCCACAGATTGTGTGTGGGAGCATGCATACATGACTGTGCTGCAAGGGTGAAGAGGGTCTCAACAGATGGTATGCTAGTTTCAGTAGCAGGGTACTGCTCATTAATCTATAAGGGGAGGACTTTTCATTCACACAAGCCATGTATCATGCGTGTGCATCTGTCTGACAGAGTGCTTACCATCCTCCAATGATTATACAGTACACTGATATGAATCTCTCGTTACCAGTCCCTGTGGAGTTGAGGCCTTTTCAGTGTTTCACTGCTGCTGGCAGACGGTTTAGTGAGTCTGAAGTGAAAATGATGCTGTGATGAGGAAGATATCGCTCAGCAGTGACCGGTGGCAAAAATGAAAGTGCTGCTTTAATGCCTTCACTCCTGGGTGGATGAACTATCCAACTCAAACCAGAATTCAACAAGCTTAAACAAATCAATCAAGAATTGGTGCAATGGGCTGTTTGTTTTGTGTTTTATCAGTCTTGACAGTGTTTAAAGCCAGTATAATTGTTGTTTCTCGCTCCCTGTGCCACTTTCTTTCCCCCCGCCAGGCCCATCTCTCTCATTCCCACAAACAAACACACAACTCCTTTCATCTTTGGTTGATCAGCTCAGATAAACATATGAACCAGAAAGGATCCATCTTAACTGGCTTAGCTCAAAGGATCTAATATCTACCCCCTCAAATCAAATACGACTGAAAAGAACATATGTGGGGGAAAAAAGAGAAACAGCAGATGCAAGGTGGCGGCACAAAAATGTGTGCTCAGTGTGAGCTTGGTGCTCTAAATTACTTTGGAAGATTCTGTATGAGGTTGCTCTCTGCTCTGTTTCATGTCCTTCCTCTTCACCAGTCCCGCTATCAAGTCAGCCACCCAGCTGAATGCTGAGAAGAGAGGACTGGACCCAAAATGCAGACACAGAGCAAGTACTGGTGAGTAAGTGAGGTTTATTGCTGCACACTGTGAATCTTACAGGTGAGGTGGTATAAGCAGTCCAAAAACACTACCGATGAAAAATCCAACTGAAAGTAAATCCGCAATAACACAAGAGGCACGAGTAACACTGGGGTAACACTGGGGAAACACAGAAGAAACGCTGAAGAAGCACTGGAGAACTCTGACATGGAAAACAATGAACTGGCAAGGAGTGAAAGAAAGACAACCACTTAAATACACAGGTGAGCAGGGCTGGACTGGGACCAAAAAAAAATCATGGTATTTTTGGCCAAGGCAGCCCACCAAAATCAGTCAGCCCCTCACCAATACACCATTGTTCTATTTAAGCCTCGATTATACTTTCCGCGTCCGCAAGTTTGCAAGGGTCAGAATCCGCGTCTGCTCCCGAGTATAATCAAGGCTTTAGGGGGTCAGATTATGGCTGTGATGAAACACGGAGATGTGACATTGCACAAGATTGGTGTCCATGACTACAAGACAAGTATATATTTTAATAGACGTACTTTTTAGAAAATTATTTAAAGATGAAATATTCAATCGGGAGGGTCTGGCAGTCCTCCGCCAGAAGATTTTTAGCATCAAACACTTAATTTCCTACATTCTGGAGACATTTTCTGCACCAATTTTTGATGGAAGTGTCTTTATTTTTATAAAGGGAAGCACAAAATACAGGTGGCAGGGTACAATTCAGAATATAAAAATATAACAGAATATAACGCAGTAATCAGTATCAGTAAGTTACTTTTTTTTTTTTTTAACACCACAGAGGTTTCTTCTATATTTACATTGCAGGCTTCTTGTGCAAATAAACCTTTCTCATAGCATTTTTATTTGTTAACATTTCTTGGTACAAGCTATTTTTAAGAACGTTTTTAACAAATGCTTTCAGAAAGTGGTGGCTACATGTCCCCAGCATCCCCAGTGTAAATGACCCTCCTCCCTGCTCCCTCCCCACAGGTTGAGCTACTATGCTTCCATGCTTACCGCTTCACCTCCACTCTCCTCCTGCTCTCTCTCTCACTCGGCCCTGTCACTTTGTCCCTCTGTTTTGCTAACTTCCTCCTCTGCCTGGCAGTGGCCACCACAGCTCTCCTTTACTCCTTCAGGTGCCTGTGCCTGCTCTACGCAGGGTACTGCAGCTGATGTCGAAGCTACTGCAGCCCCAGTAGAAAACATATCGGATATGTTCACGCATTTGGCGACCTCCGTCTGAAGAATGTTTTTTTTTTCCTTTTGGCCCGCAATGCAAGAAACAGAGAGCAGAGGGGGTGGGGGCTAGTAAGAGATGTGATTGGGCCAGCCCAATGTCAGTATAGAAAATTACCCAATGGGCCGCTGTCCATGCTTTATGGGCTGATCAT